CAACACCAGAGGCACTCCAAGTGGCCAGATACTGGTCAAAGGACATTTAATAGAATATCAAGCATGCAAACTTTGTGTTTGTGTTTGTTTGTAATGCAATATAACTGTTTTGGTTCGCTCCTGGCACGATAAATAAATAAATACTTGCCATGAATGAGTTGAACACGCAATAGGCCAGCCTTACATAAGAGGCAGGAAAAACGTGCACACAATCAGGGAGCCAATGGCTCAGAAACAGCCCCCAAAAGACTCTTGTCCTCCGTTCAAAAGCACTCGCGGCTCCTGCGGGAGGAAAGGGAGCCAAGCCCTGTCCCCAAATCGGAAGCGTAGGGAGCAAACCCCGCTTCCAAAGGGCCAAGGGCCAAAGCGAAAGCGGAGCCCCAGCCTTGCCCTCCCCTTCACCAAGTACCTGCCAAGTGCCCAGGCCCAGGAGGGGCATCCTCGCCTTGGTGCTCAGCTCCACGAAGCCTGCCATGGGTCAAGCCCTCCTCGCCGGCTTTGCCTCCCCGGGAAAGGAAAGGAAAGGAAGCAAGGAAAGGCTGCCTTTCAACCCAAGTGCCGGCTCCGCCTCCTGCCTTTCGCCCGCTCTCAGGTCAAGGCTACAAACCCAAGAGGAGGGAGGAGTCTCGGAAAGCGGTCCTCAACTCACAGAGAAAGGGGCCATGTATGAATCAGGGCTGTCATAAGGAAGAGGGAGCAGCCTTGTTCTCTGCTGCCCTGGAAACTAGGACTCAGTGGTGCCATGGGTCCAAAGATACCATCTGAACATTGGGAAGGACTTCCTAGAGTTGGTCAAGAGTGGAACTCTCTGCCCTCAGTCTGGTGGAAGCTCCTTCTTTGGAGGCCTTTCAACAGAGGCTGCATGGTTATCTCAGGGTTACTTTGCTTGGGCTTTTCCTGCTTGGCATACATAGCCCACGGGGTCTCTTCCATCACCATGATTCTACACGGTTTCCTCCCCATTTATGGAGGAAAATAAGATGGTCTCCAGCATTTTAGGGATGGAAACTGGAACCCGAGGATGCAGAATCTGCAGATACTAAGGGTTGATTGTATACCAAATCAAATGTAGGGT